CCCAGCAGCTCCGCCAGAAGGGCTGGTTTGCTCACCCCAGGACTAAGCCTTGGAGAGGGGACGGACCCGTCCTCTCTTTAAGGCTTAGTTCTGAGGTAAGCACCAAATTGTGGCGGTTCTAAGGACCGAGTTGAAGTGGTCCGTCCACCGTCGGGGACTCCATCCCCTCCCCAACATTCAGCATACGGTCCCAGCCGAAGCGCCAAAAGGGCTGGTTTGCTTACGTCCATCTTAGTAGGTTCGCCAAGCCTACTGAAGCCACACCATTCGGAAGAAGGGAAAGCGATGGCAAAATCAAGAAATCACTGAGAAGCGTGACAGAACAAAACCAAGGAAAGTGTTATCATCAAAACAAACAATGATAAAGGACTCAAACTAATACCACAACTCTAAGCTGTTTCATCATTTCGATACAAATTATATTTTACTTCTTATGGGGTTTCTTGTAATTCATTCCGCTTATTTATAACTACTACGAAACACCAATGCGATTCGTTCGTTGTTTACAGCACATTTTTTATATGAGTAGTGGATTTGGAGATCTCTGCAACTTGGTACAATATAAATGGGCAAAACTAATCTGTAGGGGACTGCAGGGGATTGCCTCACATTTATGGAAACCTTTTGTGTGCGCAGTAGTTAACTGATATCGGTAATGGCCCAAAACGATAGAGAGAATCCAGGAGACTCAAAATATATCGGAGTTGAACACGTCCGGTCATAAGGATGTTGGGAACATCCAGGCTATGCAGTTCCTTGCACCGAAATCTTGGGCTTATGGGCTTATCATATCCACAAATGCAACTTCTGTAACTGCAGTATACTGACACCGATAACCTCTCTTATCTGGCATCTTCAACAATTTTGGAGCGCTATCGCAAGATACGGGCGTACCCTCTAGAACTAAGCCTAGGAGTGGCGGAAACTCCAGAGAAAATAAAAAGTGCTTACACAACTTGGAGTTTTGCTTGCCCCACCTAAGGTTGGTCCGCTTTTGACAAGACCAAGGTTTCTCAAGCGGTTTTCAATGTATCACTACTACGATGCCCCCGTATCTTGCTATAGAGCCAATTTTGGGTTGTTTATTGCGTTTCTGAAGCTCAGTTGTAACTACTGGCACACACGACGGTGGCGAAGGCTATTTCTCTCATCAGTCTCTAACATGTGCTCAAAATGCTGTGTAGATGTGCAAAGTAGAGGACTTGTAGGTAATCAGGTACATAACTTTATTTCTGGACCGTTAAAATTCGCTACTCTCTAAATTTACTTCAATGCGCTATTTTGGACTCGTTACATATTCGCTACTCGTCCTAAAATTACTTCAATGCGCTGGTGCACAATTGTTCAGTACTGGCTGCATCTTTTCTGAAATATATCAAGAAATGCCAGTGCCCGCAGCATGAAACTCTGTGGCCTGTGAATCGATCTGTGAAGATGAAGCGTTAGCTTTGATCGTTGACGTCAAGACGTAGTGACATCTTGACGTCAACGATCTCATCGTCTCCTATGATGTAATTTGAGTACCACTTAACCCGCCCCTTGGTTCTCAATATGTTAATGAATCTGACCCAATATGGGATACTGAACATTGAGTTATGCTTGTCTATTTTAAATAGCCACTCAAATTGTTTTGCAGCTCTTGCGTTACGTTTAAGTTTCTCATTCAATGATATTGTAGAAACGAGCAACTTCATCATAATAAAGAGCTTCACGCTGATCGGTCGGTGCTGGCTATGGGCAGCTCTTTCTCGACACCGTCTCCGGTCAAAGCATTGATCGGGCAGTTCGATCGGCTTCAATTATGCAGCAAAGAGAAGAAGCGTGTAGACGATGATACGTCTGAGTCCAGCAAAGCGCCTGTCGTTAGTCAAACCGGTTAGTGGGATTTTCTTGTCTAGTAACTTATCCGAGTTGTCATGAAATGCTTTTCATTCACAAACTGGCCAAGCACTAGAGGTTGTAATAGAAAATAGCGGAGCCGCGCGGGCTTTTTTTAAAGCTTAGTAATTGGCATTTCTTTCAATTAAATGCCGAATCTGTTCCGTTTGTCTCCGATGACGATAGCGTGTGTAAAAGTTGGAATGATTCAATCACGGCTTCCGCTTCGGCCGGGTTCGAGCGAGTCAGAGCGTTGCGTAGTCACTAACATGTAGATTTTATTCGCACTTCTCTTTCATTCCATAGCCGCAGAATTGAATAAGTTGGAATATCAACAGTCTGATTTTAATGATTGAAAACGATTTTTAGGCGCTTTTGCAAGATAGCTAGGCATCCTACAAGACTAAGCTTCGGGGGCAGAAACTCTCTGGGAGAAATGGAAATTGCTCACGCACCCTGGAGTCTCCTTCCCGCCCAAGGCTACGTCCCCTTTGACCAGAAACGAAATGTCTTCGTGGTTTAAGATGCATCGACACCCCAATGCCCCGTAGAATTCCAGATTATTTCCCCCTATCAATGTTTTCATGAATTTGCTTCATAACGTTTTGCTTCCCTTCTAGACTGAATTTTTTACAGACTTCCTCATCTGTGACCGACACAATAACTGTAAGTACAGCAACGGCCATTTTCGTTGGATGTATCGACAATGTCCGAAATTACGCAGGAACAGCTTAAGGTAAGGCAGATTCTATATGAATTTCCATGAAAGTATAGCGGATTCGCCAATTACGACTTTTTGTAGAAAGGAGATTCTTACAACGACGTTCCTGAAGAAAATTGTGTGGTCCCAGCTTCATCGGTGAAGAAGTCTGGAGGTTCGTGTCTTACCTAAATATTCAGTTCCGTTGTTGCCTTAGCTTCTATGCTATTTTCTTATTCCTTTTTGACTGCGTTGTTTTCCTAATCATTTTAAAGCGTAGGGCCTAGTACGCATCACTTTTAATTACTTATTCCCGAAAAAATCAAGTTTTCGACATTATTTCATACTGGGAAATGAATAGTAGATTTGAAATGCAGTTCAAGTCACAAGAAATCTCCAAATCATTCACTTTTCCCATCTCAAGGTTCAAATAAATTATGCCCAGCAACGGGCCCTAAATAAGATCGTCATCTTTTCAAAATGAACAAACGGGATATCTGTAAAGTGGAAGAGAGGAACGGTGTAGGGAAGTGATCGCTTTACTGCGCGCATTGTGTGGCGTCAAGCTTGATATTTTATCCTGTCTAGGGCAGCCAAGTTTTCCGTTCATTTTTGGTTTGGTTGACTGGTACCAGGGTCGTTCGGGAGGGTAAAAACATCGCATAGGGAGGACTCCGCAAGTCATTCTATAAGCCAAGTAGCGTTTAAGCCTGTGCTTAATGCGTCACCACTTTAATCTTTTCATTTGATTTGGAAGCGGTACTGTGGCTTGTGGCACTACTTACCACGCTCTTGGTCCGGTGATTAAGTCGTGGGCTGACGCCGTATGGGCCAATCAAGCCTTCCATCCCTCCAGGGTCGGTTTGTTTCTACCGAAATGGTCTGGAAGCTGAAATCACGATTTGTACATGGGCTGAACCAAGCCTCCACAATTCTGAATGGAAGTACAGTGCGTGGCGCATATCAAAGAGGAATATTTATCTTCCCATTCGACCGAAAAGCAGTCGGATCATCAATAATTGTTTGTTCGTTTTTGTGTTTATCAGAGAGACTGTACAGATCGTTGGCGATTAGGCTTGGGTAACCTTCACAATCACATTTCCCTCAGATACCTTGTCACTGATTTTTGATAGTACCATATGAACGAAAAGGGATGTCAGCGCTTGATTTGTAAATGAAGAGTTCAAAGAGACTAACCAGTATTTGGTCGTCTCTTCCGCAAACTTGACGTTTTGTCGCCTTTGGAACTGAATGAAGCTTTTTATCCAGTCGCTCCAGAAATAGCAGAATAGGGAACCGTGCTGCGAGTGTTTCATTTCTTTTTTTAGCGTTTTTTAGCGGTATCAGATTGCTCGCTGACAGATTTATTAAATAGATGTCAGCGCTGTGATGGACGGGATGGTATAGCAATTTCAACCATGTGTTGACATCCATATTGTTTCATATGTCTGAGACAGTGGTGCTACTTTACCAAACTATTCTTTTATAATCACTCAGTATTTTGAACTATCTAGGCTTACCCTGCACTTGACTTTTTGGGTACTTCGAGAAAAGTTTTCCTATTAAGGGTATGAGTAACGTATAAGGAGAGCAAGTAACTAGGTTGTTTGTTGCCATTTTAGAATTCGTTATCGGGCGTTATCAAGCACGGTGATTAACGAATGGAACACATTTGGCGTTTGTCTGCTGATTGCTGCCGTTTTTTAGCATTTTTGGTTCAGATATGCGGACAGGAGAAGATTTCCTTGTGCTGCTTGAATCTGTCCGATCGAGACTTGAAGCATCTACCAAACAAGTGTTGGCTGAACTTGATGAGGTAAGAGGAGTATTCGATTCGCTGCTGCTGCCAACATTGTCTCTACAAAATATTTCATCTTACATAGTTCATTCCTTTTGATCGCTGAATGCGTTAAAAGTTCAATAGGGATTAGCTTATGTGGAATCCGTGAAGATATACTTCACTAGACTTCTTTTCTGCCTCAAACGGTACATGCTTTGATACCGCGGTTTGCTCAATATACCACTGAACTTTGTTACCTGACGTCTTGTTTGGCCTCTTTGCACATCTTTGTTAAATTACACATTCCACTCTACGACTTGTAATTCCATTTGATTGCTCTTACGGCCTGGAAACGGCAGTCGAAGTACGCATCAGAAGCTCTGCGACAAAACTGTCATGTTGACGTCAAAGATCCGCCTAGCCATTCTTAAGTGGATTGGAATTGTAGGCCTAAAGTGGCTATTTCAAGATTGTTGATGGGGTGTTTTCCTTTGATTGGAAGCCATCGTATAAACCTATTTATTACGCCTCTCGAATGTCTCGTGCTATAACATTCACATATTACCTGTGGGAAGGCTCTTATTATTTTGAGTTTGCTAGTTTATTTCTCGTCCGTATCTGCATGTTTTCGCAGGAGTTTTTCTTTATTCGCATGCAGTTATTATTCACTCATTGTTATCGTTTCGATTTGCAGATGAAATCCATTCCTGAGGAGGCCGCATCTTCGATAAGACTGGCTGCTGGGAAAGCGCAGTTACTTGTTCGCAAAAAATTGTCCAAATTCGATGAATTGGTCAAGAAAAATCTGGTAAGTGGACTGCGCTCCTTCCTTCTATTCCAACATTTCATTTGACTTCAGAATCGAATTTCTGAAGTTGTTCATTGTGATCTATTACTTCAAAGAAGTTTTTACAGAATCCGGTAGATGGAGATCTCCAGCCGGCTACCATAGACGATTTGGAAGGATACTGGGCATTAGTAGAAATCGAGCTTAATGACATTGACGAGTGTTTCCAGAAGGTGTGTCTCCACACATTGCGAATTTTCGCTTTTTTTTCTTTTTTTTGCTTATTTTTTCAATACACCCTTTCATGTCGAGGCTTTATGTATTATAGTATTCACCGCATTTCCACTGTTTCTCTTAAACTACTGGATGCTTTAACCTGGACATATCAAATTCCTGTGCATTTATGCCTCGGCATTGACCGTTTACGCGCTACTTCAAAAACGTGAGGCGGGGATTTAGTTGAAATTCTCCATGCATTGGGAATTTTGCTCGAACTTTCACGGGGTAATCGAATCCGTAGCGCGGATATCACAACAGTCCATCGCGAAAATGCCGGCGCAATTACATTATTTTTGCACCAGCAGCGCCTGTGCGCAGGCTACAAGCTACTTTCGAAACAAACTTACGTGATACTTATATTCCACGGGTCACAATGCCCTGGCGACAAATTTCCAATGAATTTGGTGATCCAAGGTGTTCTGGCGTGGTGGCGTTCGTAGGTTCAAGGCGTTTTCACCCATAGGTTCAGGGCGTTTTCACCCCAAACGAATATGATGTTAGGGTTCTTCGGGTCGATCTAACCCTCGGGGGAGCTGTCCAACCAAATCCACAGTCATGGACAAAATCCGGTCCGGTTTTCGAAGAAAGGCTAGTGAATGGTGCCTGATCCTCTTTTATAGTGGCAGAGGCGGTAATGATTTCGAAATCTTCCACAGGTTGCCCTATAATAACGGTTTGTAGGCAGCATAGGGTTTTTTCTTCAGTTGTTCTCAACAGTGATCTATTTCGCATGGTGCACTTTCAATATTTCAATTTTCTGTTTGAATCCAGGTGGATGAGTGGCGTTCGAATGGTTGGCAGCTAAAAGAATCTCCAGAATCTCAGGATCCACTTCTTGTGAATAGTAATAATAATAACAACATAGCGAAAAAGAAAATCGTGACAACTCGGCCGGCTACGGTACCGATCGATCCCGAAGTTCGAGCCAAGCAGGTCGAAAAACAGGTATGATCCTCTATTTTATTTTCATGTCTATGGTGACTTTAGATCTCATAGACAGTGTTCTTTTTTGGAAATTATTTCCATAAATACTTGCGATTACCGAAGGAGTAAGTGTTCTGATTTTGTACTGTCTTGAATCCATCCTTCTTGTCTTGCAATTGTTCGACATGAGAACCCTTTCACTAAAGGCATTATTGTAGGAGCAGTAGCACGCAGAACTCATCAACATTTGGTCAGTAATTTCTAACCATAAGCGAACCTCAGAATTAGCCGGGGGGGGGGCAAGCAAGAGGAGGGTGGAGTGAGAAAAGGTGGCATGGAAGCGGTCATCGCACAGTTCCTACCTTCCTTTTGCTTCACTAGCACCTCTTTTGTAAGTGATTTCCTGTCGTGCTCATTGACGCCGTTGAGTGGTAGTAGGAAAGGAAATCCTGGAGGGTTGTATAAGTGCCCACCGGAAGGGTTGCAGTGGCCAGCTGATCCTCGAACGTGTCGTGTCGTTTCTCTAGACAATTTTGGCACAAGTAAAAAACCCTAAGGAAGGGGATTTAAGCATCGAGCGATCGGGGTGGCGCGCCAGAATGTGGCGCGCAGTAG